TTCCGTGCTTCTCTCCTGTCCCGTCAACAAATGGAGCCTCGCCGTCTCTTCCTCGTCTTGGCCTTGCTTCTGCTCTCCGTGTCGCTGCTTCCCCTCGCTTCCTCTCGAGTATTTCCGCCGCGGGCTAAAGATCCCCCGAGGGCTAAAGGTCCCCCGAAATCCCCAAAGCAACTCGACTGCAGGTTCGTTGGGACTATCAAAGTACGCACTACTAACGCGTTGTTAGTTGTACTAGGATTGTCAAGTGACCGCCTTGAGGTGGTGAACCGGGTCTCGTATTCGTCATGCATACCTCAAATTGCGTGACTCTTCAATAATTTCTTGAATCTCGTGTATCAATCTCTCCTTTTCTTTCAGCAAGACGTCGTGGCCTGAGGTGAAGGGTATGACGGGCGACGCGGCTCGCACTTACATCCAGTTGTCTGTGCCGCAGTGCAACTGGACTATCGAAATTATCCCGAGTGGGCATCAAGTTATTATGAATTATCGCAACGATCGCATTCGCATCTTTGTGGACGCAAGTGGGATTGTTTTGGGACTTCCCAGACCTGGGTGAAATTTGTTATACCGGTAATGAGATGTACAGTGCGGGTTTGTACGCTATAGTGGTCACTGGTATCTGGTTCTGCAGAATTGCTGTTTTTTTACAGTTACCACTGCTGATGTATCCGCATGTTATGACGTATTTTATCCATGGTAAAGAAGTTCTGGATTACCTACGTAAATAGTCTTACAGTTTGAGTGGGTAACGTTCTTGCACATATAGAGCGCAGAGATTCATTGTGTCGCTCATTCTTTGTGTAAACATCCATTGCATATAAAAGAACGACATATGGTGAGCGTAACAACAATGATTTCTCAAGCTTTCCAGATTCTGCATTACGATACATTCCTGGACTTTTTCTACCGAAAGGGTGGTTGTCTGTCACCCCTTCTCCCAATCACCCACCCCCACATCTCCCCCCCCCCCCCCCCCCCCCCCCCCCACCCCTCCCCACCATCATTCTCCATAATCAATATAATCGTTTTTCTTGTAAATGTTTGGAATAAGCAGGCGATCTGTCTAGCAGTTCTTGCAACTCTGTCAATTCTCCTGCTCCTGGTGGTACAAACGGGAAAAGGGGAAAACAGTATGACAGAATACTACGAGAATGTGAGGGAGAGAAGACAGGAGCACAAAACAAGAGATCGATCAAGTAGCGCAGAAGAGACAACTGGAAATACGTGAGGGCGGAAGGAAGGAGAGCAAGAAATTAGGCAAATAATTGGCTTAGGGGAAACATGGGCGAGAAGTGCAGAGAGGAGATCAAACATTCACACATCTCTTGTAGTAACACCATGCATGTATACTGCCGCCTATATCAATGAAAGGACCGTTTGAGAGAAGAGTCACCTAGACTTGACAAGGGCGCTGAAGGGATTGAGCAGATGGCAGGAGCACGAGAGGAATGATCGAGGGACGATTGGGAGGAGGGGGGTGGCTCGTGCGCAGCTTCAAGAGTTCATAAATGCTCATGAATCAGGATTCTGCTGCAGCTGCGGCGGCGGCTGCTGCTGCAAAACGGGAGAAATTGTGAGGGCAAAGAAGATTGGAGTAAGAGAATGTAATTGACCCCAAGACAGTATGTACTGATTCTGGAATAAATGGTATGAGTTGAGACAGATGCTATGTGAGGGAAAAGGGGATTGGAGTAAGAGAACTTTGAGATGTCATGAGTGGCGATAAGGTAGCTGATTGCAAGACATTAAGTACAACTGCTGGGATAAATGGTATGAGTTGAGATAGATAGTATGTGAGGGGAGAGAGGATTGGACTAGGAGAATGTAAGAATGTGAGATGTCATGAGTGATCGATAAGGTAGTTGATCCCAAGAAGAACATAGATGAGTGGGGACCTATGAGCTGAGTGAAGAAAAATATGATGAGTTGGTATGAATGAGATGAGTTGGTATGAATGAGATGAGTTGGGATGAATGAGATGAGTTGGGATGAATGAGATGAGTTGGGATGAATGAGATGAGTTGGGATGAATGAGATGAGTTGGTATGAATGAGAAGAGTTGGGATGAATGAGATGAGTTGGTATGAATGAGATGAGTTGGGATGAATGAGATGAGTTGGTATGAATGAGATGAGTTGGGATGAATGAGATGAGTTGGTATGAATGAGATGAGTTGGGATGAATGAGATGAGTTGGGATGAATGAGATGAGTTGGTATGAATGAGATGAGTTGGGATGAATGAGATGAGTTGGTATGAATGAGATGAGTTGGGATGAATGAGATGAGTTGGTATGAATGAGATGAGTTGGGATGAATGAGATGAGTTGGTATGAATGAGATGAGTTGGTATGAATGAGATGAGTTGGGATGAATGAGGTGAGTTGGTATGAATGAGATGAGTTGGGATGAATGAGATGACTTTGGATGAATGAGATGAGTTGGGATGAATGAGATGAGTTGGTATGAATGAGATGAGTTGGGATGAATGAGATGAGTTGGGATGAATGAGATGAGTTGGTATGAATGAGATGAGTTGGGATGAATGAGATGAGTTGGTATGAATGAGATGAGTTGGGATGAAACAGATGAGTTGAGATGAATGAGATGAGTTGGGATGAATGAGATGAGTTGGTATGAATGAGATGAGTTGGGATGAATGAGATGAGTTGGGATGAATGAGATGAGTTGGGATGAATGAGATGAGTTGGGATGAATGAGATGAGTTGGGATGAATGAGGTGAGTTGGTATGAATGAGATGAGTTGGGATGAATGAGATGAGATGGGATGAATGAGATGAGTTGGGATGAATGAGATGAGTTGGGATGAATGAGATGAGTTTGGATGAACGAGATGAGTTTGGATGAATGAGACGAGTTGGAATGAATGAGACGAGTTGGAATGAATGAGACGAGTTGGGATGAATGAGATGAGTTGGGATGAATGAGATGAGTTGGTATGAATGAGATGAGTTGGGATGAATGAGATGAGTTGGGATGAATGAGATGAGTTGGGATGAATGAGATGAGTTGGGATGAATGAGATGAGTTGGGATGAATGAGATGAGTTGGGATGAATGAGATGAGTTGGGATGAATGAGATGAGTGGGGATGAATGAGATGAGTGGGGATGAATGAGACGAGTTGGGATGAATGAGATGAGTTGGGATGAATGAGATGAGTGGGGATGAATGAGATGAGTTGGGATGAATGAGATGAGTTGGGATGAATGAGATGAGTTGGGATGAATGAGATGAGTTGGTATGAATGATTTGAGTTGGTATGAATGAGATGAGTTGGGATGAATGGGATGAGTGGGGATGAATGAGATGAGTTGGTATGAATGAGATGAGTTGAGATGAAATAGATGAGTTGAGATGAATGAGATGAGTTGGTATGAATGAGATGAGTTGGGATGAATGAGATGAGTTTGGATGAATGAGATGAGTTGGGATGAATGAGACGAGTTGGAATGAATGAGTTGAGTGGACTTCCCAGACCTGGGTGAAATTTGTTATACCGGTAATGAGATGTACAGTGCGGGTTTGTACGCTATAGTGGTCACTGGTATCTGGTTCTGCAGAATTGCTGTTTTTTTAGAGTTACCACTGCTGATGTATCTGCATGTTATGACGTATTTTATCCATGGTAAAGAAGTTTTGGATTACCTATGTAAATAGTCTTACAGTTTGAGTGGGTGACGTTCTTGCACATATAGAGCGCAGAGATTCATTGTGTAGCTGATCCTTTGTGTAAACATCCACTGCGTATAAAAGGACGACATATGGTGAGCATAACAACAATTATTTCTCAATCTTTCCAGATTCTGCATTATGGTACATTCCTGGCCTTTTTCTACCGAAAGGGTGGTTGTCACCCCTTCTCCCAATCACCCACCCCCGCATCTCTCCCCCCCTCCCCCACCCCTCCCCACCATCATTCTCCATAATCAATATAATCGATTTTCTTGTACATGTCTGGAGTGAGCAGGCGAAATCGGTCTAGCAGTGCTTGCAACTCTGTCAATTCTCCTGCTTGTGGTGGTACAAACGGGAAAAGGGGAAAACAGTATGACAGAATACTACGAGAATGTGAGGGAGAGAAGACAGGAGCACAAAACAAGAGATCGATCAAGTAGCGTAGAAGAGACAACTGGAAATAGGTGAGGGCGGAAGGAAGGTGGGCAAGAAATTAGGCAAATGTTTGGCTAGGGGGAAACAAGGGCGAGAAGTGCCGAGAGGAGAGCAAGAATTTACACATCTCACAACTTGATTCATATCACGCAGTGAAATGTGAGCATGGGAAAGTGTGGGAGGGCAAAGGTGGAACGAACAGTGGGGAAAGGGAGGCTGAGGAAAGGAAAGCAGAGGGTGGGTGAGTGAGGGAATAGGAGAGAGGTGGAATTGACAGTGGTGAAAAGAGAGTGCAGGAAGAGGCAAGAGAGGAAGATGCAAGGACCAATAGCGGGAGGGAGAAAAGAGTCACCTAGAATTGACCAAGGGCGTGATTTCGGGGACTGAGCGGATGGCAGGAGCACGGGAGGGGCAATGGTAAGTTAGTGAAACGAGAGCACATGAGGAGGTGTGAATGCTCATGAATCAGGATTATGCTGCTGCTGCTGCTGCTGCTGCTGCAGGGGAAGTGGAATGATTTTGAGGGCAAAAGGGGATTGGAGTAAGAGAATGTAAGAATGTGAGATGTCATGATTGATCGATAAGGTAGTCAATCCCAAGAAGAAGCTAGATGAGTGGGGTCGAGACGAACGAGATGAGTTGGGAATAGCGAGATGAGATGGGGTGAATGAGTTGAGTTGGGGGAAATAGATGAGTTGGGAGAAATAGATGAGTTGGGAAAAATGAATGCGTTGAGATAGATGCGATGATGAGTCTGTTAGTGCTGAGTGTTGAGTCGACTTCAAAGTGGTGTGTACAGGTGTGTACAGGTGTGAGTGAGCTGTGTGCCTGAGCGCTGATGAAGGCCAAAGGCCGAAACGCGCGTACGCTCAGTGAGTGAGCTGTGTGCCTGAGTGCAGTGAGTGCGAGTGCAGTGAGTGCGAGTGCAGTGAATGCGAGTGCAGTGAGTGCGAGTGCAGTGAGTGCGTGTGCAGTGAGTGCGTGTGCAGTGAGTGCGAGTGCAGTGAGTGCGTGTGCAGTGAGTGCGTGTGCAGTGAGTGCGAGTGCAGTGAGTGCGTGTGCAGTGAGTGCGTGTGCAGTGAGTGCGTGTGCAGTGAGTGCGAGTGCAGTGAGTGCGTGTGCAGTGAGTGCGTGTGCAGTGAGTGCGAGTGCAGTGAGTGCGTGTGCAGTGAGTGCGTGTGCAGTGAGTGCGTGTGCAGTGAGTGCGTGTGCAGTGAGTGCGTGTGCAGTGAGTGCGTGTGCAGTGAGTGCGTGTGCAGTGAGTGCGTGTGCAGTGAGTGCGTGTGCAGTGAGTGCGTGTGCAGTGAGTGCGAGTGCAGTGAGTGCGAGTGCAGGGAGTGCGAGTGCAGTGAGTGCGAGTGCAGTGAGTGCGTGTGCAGTGAGTGCGTGTGCAGTGAGTGCGTGTGCAGTGAGTGCGTGTGCAGTGAGTGCGTGTGCAGTGAGTGCGTGTGCAGTGAGTGCGAGTGCAGTGAGTGCGAGTGCAGGGAGTGCGAGTGCAGTGAGTGCGAGTGCAGTGAGTGCGAGTGCAGTGAGTGCGAGTGCAGTGAGTGCGTGTGCACTGAGTGCGAGTGCAGTGAGTGCGAGTGCAGTGAGTGCGAGTGCAGTGAGTGCGAGTGCAGGGAGTGCGAGTGCAGTGAGTGCGAGTGCAGTGAGTGCGAGTGCAGTGAGTGCGAGTGCAGTGAGTGCGTGTGCAGTGAGTGCGAGTGCAGTGAGTGCGAGTGCAGTGAGTGCGAGTGCAGTGAGTGCGTGTGCAGTGAGTGCGAGTGCAGTGAGTGCGAGTGCAGTGAGTGCGAGTGCAGTGAGTGCGAGTGCAGGGAGTGCGAGTGCAGTGAGTGCGAGTGCAGTGAGTGCGAGTGCAGGGAGTGCGAGTGCAGTGAGTGCGAGTGCAGTGAGTGCGAGTCCAGTGAGTGCGAGTGCGGTGAGTGCGAGTGCAGTGAGTGCGAGTGCAGTGAGTGCGAGTGCAGTGAGTGCGAGTGCAGTGAGTGCGAGTGCAGTGAGTGCGAGTGCAGTGAGTGCGAGTGCAGTGAGTGCGAGTGCAGTGAGTGCGAGTGCAGTGAGTGCGAGTGCAGTGAGTGCGAGTGCAGTGAGTGCTAGTGCAGTGAGTGCGAGTGCAATGAGTGCGAGTGCAGTGAGTGCGAGTGCAGTGAGTGCGAGTGCAGGGAGTGCGAGTGCAGTGAGTGCGAGTGCAGTGAGTGCGAGAGCAGGGAGTGCGAGTGCAGTGAGTGCGAGTGCAGTGAGTGCGAGTGCAGTGAGTGCGTGTGCAGTGCAGACTTTTGAGTCGAATTTGAAGTGGTGTGTACAGGTGTGTACAGGTGTGTACAGGTGTGTACAGGTGTGTACGGGTGTGTACAGGTGTGTACAGGTGTGAGCTGTGTGCCATGTGTGCAGTGCGTGCGTGTGCCATGGTGTATCAGAGACCAGGGTGCATGGACCAAGGGTAGCACTGATGACGATCTGTTGGTATAACTGAGATGCCATCGTGAGTGCGTGACTGCGTGCATGAGTGTGTGATGTGTCTGTGTGCAGTGAGTGTGTGTGCCACGGTGTTTCAGAGACAAGGGTGCATGGAGCAGGGGAAGCACTGATGACGATCTGTTGGTGTATCTGAGATGCCAATGTGAGTGCGTGTGTGGGTGTGCGATGTGTGTCTGTATGCACGTGTGCAGTGAGTGTGTGTGCCAAAATGTGTCCCAGACAAGGGTGCATGGTGCAGGGTCTAGCACTGACAGGACGGCGCTTCGTTTGGAGGAAACATACAGTATATGTGTCTATGCCGAGAGCATTGAGGTGTATTTTCAGGCGCCTCAAAATACACTTCGTTCGGAGGGAACGTACAGTGAATGTGGCTACGCCGATGCTGCTTGCATTGAGCAAGCTTGTATTGAGTGTGCTTGCATTGAGCATCCTTATATTGGGTGTGCTTGTATCGAATCCACTGGTTGCCTCCAGCAAAGCGATCACTGTATCCCTTAGCCGGTCATTCTCCTGATGAATAGAGAAACATGCATACATACATTATAGAAAATGCACACACATAAAAAAGGGAGAAAGAGCTACACAAAAAAAAGGAAACAAGCCCCCTTCGAAGGAGAGATTCACCCAGACATCCGCGTGTAGTGAGGTGAATTTTGAGGCGCCTCAAAATTCACCTCACTACAAGGAGACAAGCTCCCTTCGAAGGAGAGATTCACCCAGACATTTTTTCATACAGTACATATCCGAGAAAAAACTACACTTGAATGGCATACATGCACATGCACGTTCAGGGCACAATAATTTGTTTGTTTTTTTTTTCAAAATGCAAGCACATATTGACACGGAAGCATACATATATGCAGGTGTGAAGACACATGCATATAGACACGCACACACACGTAAGTATGCGCGCGCACACATTTGCGTATGTAGTATGAAAACTTGTATGGATTATACACATATGAGAAAACATGACCGCACACGTGGATATGTGAAAGCATGCATGTTCGTGTGACTTTAGAGAATTCTCAAAAGTCGCACACGTGGATATGTGAAAGCATGCATGCGAGCATGGATATGTGAGTGAAAGCATGCATATGTGAAGGCACATACATACTGGCTTACTAAATACGTTGTAGCATACAAGCTTAAACCAGGTTTTCCACACTCATTCTCATGGAGTTTGTCTCGCCGTCTTAATAACATTCAAGTTGATGGACATCAGACCTCCGCAGCCCACCTGTTTACCTATAAAAGCATGCATGCGAGCATGGACATGTGAGTGAAAGCATGCATATGTGAAGGCACATGCATACACGCATGCATATGCGATGAAGTACGTCTGAACACATTACACTTGCTTGCCTCACCTGCTTCACATGCACATGTATGAACACACTACACATGTATTGATCCTCACCTGCCCTGCTTTTTTTACGCCTCAAAAGTTGTTTTTTGAGACGTCTCAAATGAGCGTATGAGCACACGTTACACATGTAGTAATCCTCATCCGCCTCCATTTCACTCACCTGCCTTGTTGCCCCTCACCCACCTCTCTGATTAACCCGCACTCACCTGTTTGATTAAACCTCACTCACTTGTCTCATTAACCCCCACTCACCTGTCTGATTAGCCCTCACCCACCTCTCTGATTAACCCTCCCTCACCTGTCTGATTAACCCCCACTCACCTGTCTCATTAACCCCCAAACACCTGTCTCATTAACCCCCACTCACCTGTCTCATTAACCCTCCCTCACCTGCTGCACTACTGCCTTTGAGTAACCCCCCACCTAATGCATCACTGCCCCTTATTAACCGTCACCTGCGGCACTGCAGCAATCCTCCCTTCCAGCTCCTCCTCCTCCCTTTCCTTCGACTCGCACTCCTCCTTTAGGCCCTGATAGTAATGCACTGGAATAACCACCTATGACCCTTTCTTGGACACAACCGACGTTGCCCCTCACTCACCTGCTGCACTGCAGCAATCTGGCCTTCCAGCTGCTCCTTCTCCCACTCCTTCGCCTCACACTCCTCCTTTACGCCCTGATGATCAGCGTGATGTGACAGGGCATGGCATGGCATGGCATAGCGTTGCCCCTCTCTCACCTGCTGCACTGCAGCAATCCTCGATTCCAGCTCCTCCTTCTCCCTCTCCTTCGCCTCGCATTGCTCCTCTAAGCTCTGATGACAGTGTAGCATGATAAGCATCGCACGATATGGCATGGCATGGCACGACATGGCATGGCATAATGTAGGAAGAAAAGGAAGCAGGAAAGGAGGATAAGCATCCATGCTCCTACCACCACTATGCTTCACACGTCACAGTTTTGCATGTACCACATTCAATCTAGCTAAAAATGAAGGCTGCCACATGATATAAGTGAGTTTTCGAGATGTCTAAAAAACCAATATTCTTCACACGTCACAGTTTTGCATGTACTACATTCAATCTAGCTAGTATTCAAGGTCGTCACAAGCAAATTACATGTACCGCGCCTAGCTAGACTATAAGACTAGGACAAGTGCAAATGTGACATTGCAGATTTCCGAAAATAGTGCATGCTTACACTACATCACCAATGTGGCGTGCTTAGCTTACCATGGAGGTGACATACATAACAAATAGGTCACATCATACTATACCTCCATGCGTTGTCGTTTCCTCTCCCTTGCTTGCTGGGCATTCACTCTGTTCCTCAAAAGTCTGCTCGCCAGAACGCCACCCACAAAAACATACAGACACATGCGAGATCAGAGTTGCCAAATAAAAAAACATTGACATACACTATGAGGCTATTTTTGAGTGGACTCAAAAACACGAAGTCAGAGGAGCTAACTCACAGAGAGCATTCTATCTGTTCCTCAGCAATCTGCTAACCATGCTTGCCATGCTTGCCATGCTTGCCATGCTTGCCATGCTTGCCATTCTTGCCATGCTTGCCATGCTTGCCATGCTTGCCATTCTTGCCATGCTTGCCATTCTTGCCATGCTTGCCATTCTTGCCATTCTTGCCATGCTTGCCATGCTTGCCATGCTTGCCATTCTTGCCATGCTTGCCATTCTTGCCATGCTTGCCATTCTTGCCATGCTTGCCATTCTTGCCATGCTTGCCATTCTTGCCATGCTTGCCATTCTTGCCAACTCACAGATGGCACACACTATGAGTCGTTTCAATCAATCGCTTTCTACCTGTTCCCCAGCGATCTGCTTGCCGGATCGAGGTGAATTATGAGTCGACTTAAATGTCACGTGCAAAATCAGCGGAGCCAACTCACGAATAACACACACTATGACGCGTTTCATTCGCATTCTATCTGATCCTCAGCAATCAGCTTGCCGGATCGCCGACCAAAAAGGAAGCATTTCTATCTGATTCTCATGCATAGTTTTTTTAAAGGGGTCAGATTTTAAAAACACCAAAACACACACTAAGTGGCATTTCTTGCCACCAGGCACCCAACTGATCCACACACACATGCACACATGCACACATGCATACATGCGTACATGCATACACACATGGACACACGAACACATGCATACATGCATACACACATGGACACATGAACACATGCATACATGCATACACACATACACACATGCATACATGCACACATGCACAAATGCACACATGCGCACATGCATACACATATGCACACATGCATGCACATTGTATCTAGTTCTCAAAGATTTTCTTGCCAAATTGCCAAACGCACGCACATGCATGCGTGCGGACACACACACACACACACACACACACACACACACACACACACACACACACACACACACACACACACACACACACACACACACACACACACATGGCTATAACCAACATCGCTGGTTACAATACATTCCGCTGGAGACAGAAGAGGGGATCGAGGAAAGAGGAAAGAGAGGAGAGAGGAGAGAGGGTAGATGAAGGAAGCGCGCTAGCTCTCACCTTCTGTTTCGGCGAGAATTATCAGATGCACCACTGCCCGCCTGAATGCCACGTCTGCCTGCATAAGTGGCACCTTCATTCCCTCCTTGCGCCACCACCCCACCTTCATCATCACCCCCTCGTGCCACCAACCCCCGTTCCTCCCCTCCTTCCTTTCCCCTTTCTTCCACCAACCCCCCTCCCACCGCCCTTTCCTTCCCCCCTTCCTCCACCAACCCTCCTTGCTCCCCTCCTTCATTCCCCCTTCCCACTACCATCCCCTCTTCCTCTCCTCCTTCCGCCACCAACCCCCCTTCTCCCCCTGCTTTCTCCCCCACTTCCTCCATCAACGCAGCATGTACCTGCCCTAGCACAGCCACCGTTCCCACCACTGCCACGTGGCTGGCGGTGATTGGCTGCCCTGTCGCCCCAGCCAAGTGACTGCCGCTGCTGCTGCCACTGGTGCCAGACCCTGTAGAGAGCGCAAGTTTCTTATAACGAGGGGAGATTAACTTGCTATCCTTCGGCCGTGCAGGTAGGATCGGCAATGGGGAACGAGCCTTCTGAGGGGCCTCACGCATCGGTCGTGCAGGTAGAATCAGTTGGGGGGAAAGAGCTGGTCGAAGGGAGACAAGTGGCCGTGGGGAAAGAAGTAGTGATTGAGCAGGAAATGCGGATAAGGCAGGATACCCAGATGCACCCAGGTGATTGGCTCCACTCTGATTTCCAGACTCCAGCGAAAACGACTTTTGAGATGTCTCAAACTTTTGAGTCGTCTCAAGAGTAGGTAGTGGGGATAAGGCAAGGGGATACACTGATTGACCGGCGGCAGGATACCCAGATGCACCCAGGTGATTGGCTCCATCCTGATTTCTAGACTCCAGCGGAAACGTCCCTGACTGCTGGACCTTCCTTCCCAGATTCCCTGCTATCTCTGACTTTTGAGACGTCTCAAAAGTCATGAACGTCCCAGGCAGCTGCACCTTCCTTCCCAGATTCCCTGCAACCTCTGGTCTTCGTGGTTCTCCCAGAGGGAACGCCCCTGACTGCTGTACCTTCCGTCCCAGATTCCCCTCTATCGCCGGTCGTCCTGCCTTGCCCGACACGTAGCCTCCTGTCCCTGATTCTCCTGCCTCTCCAGCTGCAATGCTTCTCCGGTCATTTTCTGACCGTGACTGCTGCACCTTCCTTCCCAACTTCCCTGCAATCTCTGGTCTTCGTGGTTCTCCCAGCGCGAATGTCCCTGACTGTTGCACCTTCCTTCCCAGATTCCCCTCTACCACCGGTCGTCCTGCCTTGCTTGACACGTAGCCTCCTGTCCCTCCTCCTCCCTCCCCTCTTTCTCCTGCCTCTCCAGTTGTATTTCTTCGGTGGTCATTTTCTGAGGGGATCACTTCACGTTCCAAGGGCCGAGGTGCCTTTTGAGTCGACTCAAAAGTCGCCCTTCCTTCTCCTGCCCCTCCTTCTCCTGCCTTTTGAGTCGACTCAAAAGTGGCCCTTCCTTCTCCTGCCTCTCCACTTGTACTTCTTCTCTGGTCATTTTCTGAGGGGATTGCACCACTTTCTAAGGACCAGCCAGGAGCAACCGGGTAGCACACTGACCCCCTTTCTTGAATCGATCCCCTTTCTTGCACCGACCCCCTTTCTTTCACCGACCCCCTTCCTTGGACCGACCCCCGTTCCTGAATCAATCCCCTTTCTTGCACAGATACCTTTGCTTGCATGGATCTCGTTTCTTGCGAAACAATCCTGCTTTTCTGCGAGAGTGTTACTCCTCCCCTCCGTCCTCCAACTCCTCCTCCTCCTCCTCCTCCTCCTCCTCCTCCTCCTCCTCCTCCTCCTCCTCCTCCTCCTCCTCCTCCTCCTCCTGCTCCTCCTCCTCCTCCTCCTCCTCCTCCTCCTCCTCCTCCTCCTCCTCCTCCTCCTCCTCCTCCTCCTCCTCCTCCCGCTCGTAACCCTTCAATTGGTAACGCCCCTGCTGGTAACCCTCCCCCCGCTAACCTCCCTGCTGGTAGCCCTCCTGCTGGTAACCCTCCTGTAGGTAGCCCTCCCGCCGCTAACCTCCCTGCTGGTAACCCTCCTCCTTGTGGCCCTCCTGCTGGTAACCCTCCTGTGGGTAACCCTCCCACTCGTAACCCTCCTGCTCGTAACCCTCCCGCTCGTAACCCTCCCGTTCGTAACCCTCCCGCTGAGAACCCTCCTCCTGGTAACCCTTCCGCTGGTAACCCTTTTCCTGAAAGCCTGCCCGCTGTCATCCCTCCTGCTGAAAACCCTCCTCCTGGTAACCCTCCTGCTGCCAACCCTCCCACCAATAACCCTCCTGATGGTAACCCTCCTGATGGTAACCCTCCTGATGGTAACCCTCCTGATGGTAACCCTCCTGATGGTAACCCTCCTGCTGGTAACCCTCCTGCTGGTAACCCTCCTGCTGGTAACCCTCCTGCTGGTAACCCTCCTGATGGTAACCCTCCTGCTGGTAACCCTCCTGCTGGTAACCCTCCTGCTGGTAACCCTCCTGTTGGTAACCCTCCTGTTGGTAACCCTCCTGCTGGTAACCCTCCTGCCGCTAACCCTCCTGTGGGTAGCCCTCCCACTGGTATCCCTCCCCTTGAAAGCCCTCCCACTGGTAACCCTGCCGCTGGTAACCCTCCTGCTGGTAACCCTCCTCCTGGTAGCCCTCCTACTTGTAACCCTGCCGCTGGTAACCCTCCTGCTTGTAAATGTTGACCTGGTAACAGCCCCCTTGGGAACGCTCTGCCTTGTAACAACTCTTCTAACCCACCCTGTAATAACCCACTCGGTAACGAACCACCTTGTAACAACCCACCTTGTAACAACCCACCTTGTAACAACCCACCTTGTAACAACCCACCCTGTAGCGAACCACTTTGTAACAACCCACCTTGTAACAACCCACTTTGTAGTAATGATTCATCTTGCAGAATTGATGACCCAGCTTGTAATATCCCACTCCGTAGCAACCCACCTTGTAACAACTGTGATAACCCCGTAACAAGCACCGATTGAGCGAGTGGTTGGGTCGGTACAGGTTGTTCAGAGGCGAATGGAATCGGACCAATCGAAGCTCTCGTAGGAAAACTGGTCAGAGGTGGAAGCTGATTGGCTGTGGCACCGAAAGCTGAATTTGAAGGTGAATGTGATGACTCTACTGGCGGGTTCGATATGTGGCGGGATTGGACTGCCTCGTTTCTAGGCGCACTAAGCCTCGAATCATCTGGAGGGTGTGCCTGTATTGAAGGCTGCGATGCTTGCGGTTGTATCGTGGCCGTCCGTGAGTCTAAGATGGGCCTTGCCTGGCCGTACAGATGCTGGAAAGAGGAAGCTGCTGAATGCCCTGTCAAAGAGGAGGGTTTGAGAGGGAAGAGACGAACAAGAGTTTATAATTTCAAACATTGCCAAAGAAAAATCGACGCGTGCACACATATTAAAGTTGTATCCAACAAATAGATGCAGACACTATGTAAAACAGTAGGAAACAAATGATTGTAAATATTGTGGGGTATGCTCAAACATATCACCTGTTGGAGAAAAAATAGGCGCACTTGTGTGCCGGTGGCAAATTTCCGGTAATTTGGCAAGCATCTTGCTTGCCGCATGGCCCATGATCATATCTGTATGAGCCACTATCGTATTTCCATGTCTGGATGAAGGGAAGAAAGCAATAGAAAATGTGTTGGAATATGAAGTAGGTTAACGCAAGTGAAGAGTAATGAAGTGATTCATCAGCTACATGGCCCTCTATGATTCAAAGGCAGAAGCTGAATAAAGGAAGCGCTTTGAAGCGAACAACGGAACGTACCTTGAGACGGGGACACGTTGCTTTGATTCGTCCACAAACCTTCCACAGCTGGCTAGGGTTTCAAAAACCTCCGCGTACTGCCCCGCCGAAGCAACTTCTCTTGTGCTAAAACCTCCTCCATCATTTCTCTCTCCTCGTTGCTGTAGCTGCTGCTTCTGCTCCGTATCCACTCGTTCTTGCAACTGCAGCTGTTCGTGTCGCAGCAGCTGCGCTTGCCGAGTTAGAACCAGCGCTAGTAAGTGCTGCTGTTCCGCCGCCTGAATGTCCTGCCGCGCCGGTCCCTGTTGCGGTGCCTGGAATTCCTGCGTGGGTGGACCTTGGGATTGCTGCGGCACGTGCTGTCTCGCCTGATTTGTTTCGAACCCGGCGGCTCCCGTCTGGATAGTAGTTGGCGATGAAGCCGTTAGGGTGGTCCTAAGACCAAGCGCCGCGGCGCGATCCGCTCCGTCGCTGCGTATCGCGGAAGGCGCGGCGAAATCCGTTCCGCCGCCGCGGCCGCTGAGGCTCTCTCGCTCGGCGGCGGCGGCGGAGGCATCGAGTCGCATGCGGTTCGCATGTCGCTGCAGCAGAATGCTCGCTAGAAGACTATCGTTACTGCGATTACGACTCCGATTCTCACCCTGACCTCGATTCTGATTTCGACTCTGATCATTACTCTTGCTCGGACTTTGCTTCAGGCTCGGATTCCGGTTCAGGCTTGGATTCTGGTCCAGGCTCGGACTCTGGTCTAGGCTCGAATTCTGATTTAGGCTCGGTCTTAGGCTCGAACTCTGGTTCGGACTCGATTCCTGGCTCAGGCTCGGACTCCCACTGGCGGTCGGAGGGAGACGGGTCATGTTTCTACCAGAGGTGCTAAATCGTTGACGCGGCGACTGCCGTTGGTAGTATCATGAACTAAGTTCTGCTGCACGACGCTCACGACGCAACCCTTATCACGTCCGCGTCTAGGGCTCTGCTTCTACTAGCGCCCCGAGTCTTGAAATGCTCTATAAGACTTCGCCGCAGAAACTGACGGGTGGAGAGCATAACGGACGCCTTCTACGCTGCAGACATAGCACTTGTTTGCTTAGTCGTACCAATAATTTTGGAGCCCGCTGCGCGCCGCTGCTGTTAGGTGCGCCGCTGCTGCTTAGGCGCGCCGCCGCGGACCGTCGCCGCTGATTAGGAGCGTCGTTGTGTAGGATGTCTGCTGTTTACGAGCGCTGCTTATTGCACTTGGGGAGTGTACGGTCCTAGGGGCAGAGGCGTTTGGCGCAGCTTGAAGAGTTTTTTTTCTAGATTTCTATATCTTCAACAGCAGGACGCCTATTTATCGTCAGCTGATCGTGGATTTCGCGGCACTCGTACCGTTGCGAAGGAAAACTGTGCGACTCCTTCTTCTTGTCACGACGCCGAAGCCTCGCGCAGCACGCAGTGAGTTTTGCGATGATCACATGATCACATTGGTACACCTCAAGTAGTTTGTAGTATCACTGTCTCGGCCTTTGCTCATCTCATACGAGAAGGTAGAGTGTCAGCATCTCTTGATCCAAGAGGGTGGGTGCCGCCAAACCGAAAGTTTAACAGCTTTGATCCGAGGTTGGGTGCCGTCGGCGATACATCACACGCACACAGCGGCATAGATGATCCTCCTGAGCAACGGTTGGGCTGGAGTGCTGCGTGAAGCACTGGAAATGGACGGAGTTGGGAGATTCTCAGCAATGGCCTGGAATCGCTAGTAGTTGTGACTCCCCCGCTGCTTGCTTGGAAGAGTACGTACCCGCGTTGGACGGGAGTATCAGCGTCAAAATCTCGCGTTTCTGCTCCCTTGGGAAATGTGCGGCGACCACGGCGGAACCAATAGCCCCTGGCCAGACCCGCACGTGGCTGTCGTCAGCACCCACGGCACCGGAAGCGTCGCAGAAAAGTTTCAAATTTCAGCAATATCGTCGGAGACTGGAGCTCTGCGTTCCCGCTCTCGTTGGTGGTTCGATTGCGAGGGCGTGAGGCGTAGTGGGTGGTTGTTGATGTCCCGAGAGGAGGAGAAAATAGATTTGGCGGTGTTGTCGGCGATCGCTGTGAGTGGGCCCGTCACGTTGCCGTACGATTAGCCAGAAAGTCGCTTGCAACCTCGTTGTTACCGTCCAAATTCGGCAGTGTGCCAGCCTAAAGGTGCTGAGTAGGACAAGAGCGCAATACGAGGGCGGGCTGTCAGTGTTCAGCGTGGCTGTAAAGCACTGCACGCGTGGTGAATTAACGCGTTAATCCCAAGGTTGTTGTTGGAAGTAAGGTAGGGTGTGAAAGGGAGGTTTGAGATTGGGAGGAAGTTGAAGGACGCTTCCAGCACTTGTCTCGCTGCATGAAATTGTACGATAGTACGGAATGGAAGGATGCGGCGGAATTTGACGAACAAGCCAATTGCTTGTACTACACAAAATTTGACTGACTATCAGCTACCACTTCGCCAGTCAGTCAAGCTAGATACAGCCGCTGTAACGTTTGTTCCTTTCCCGTCATCAGTGGCTGCACAATGATGCCGCGGACTTCACTTTGCGGACAACTGAATTCGACTCCGAGTCGGCCTGATGATGCGGGAATTGCTTCTGGCCGACTTTTGATTCAGGATTCCTCCTGATGCAACGCGATTGGCATGAGATTCAGTTGTCACCGCATCGAAAGGGGGCGGCCCTGTATGCTACGTATCAAACAAGCGATGATTGATGTTGTGGGTGAGAACACGACACGCCATGCAGCAATGTGGAGTGCTTGTTGTTGGTCATCATTTTCAGAAAGTGTGTTCTGTACCTTTCTGTAGGGAGACACGAGTGAAGGAATCTAGAGAATGGTGGGAATGAAAGTGGACAGAAAATGAGAGAGTAAAGAGAAGGATGGAATGCGGTTTAGAAGAGCTGAGACGCTTCTAGAGGTTTATTTGGCCAAGGGCAAGCAGAACTCTCACTGATGCACGAATTAGAAGATCCAGGTGACGAAGGCTTCCAGAAAGCTGTACATTCTGGAAGCATTTCGTGCGTCTTTCCATTCTGGGAACCATCGGTTCCATTTTGGAGCCTTCTTTACGGAGGAGTGCCACGAAATCTGGCCTTCCCCTCCATCCCGCGTCCCACAAACGCAACCTGGGTGTGGGCCGTAAGTGCTACTTACAGGTGGATTATCAGTTTCACCACTCTACATTCGAGCGTGTGCCAAGAACGTGTGAAATTGCGAAAGTTAATCTGCTGTCGGTCAGCAAAAATACTTTCAAGAGCTGCTAGTGGGCTCCACCACCAGCCCACCTGCCAAACCACAAAGCGACTCGCTGTAAAATTTCTGTCGTGATCGCAGGAAGTCGTGGCGTTCCTGGAGTCACATCCGTGGCATTCTACCATTCGTCCACCGACAAAATCAAACAGTTGACCGACTGCAATTCGGCAGTGTCAGCCGCTTGAGGAGACGAGCGAGAATGCCACGAAGGTCAACTGCACCTCAAGCTTCATAGCAATAAAGAGTTCAGACGTGTACAGTTTCGAACCTAGGCTACACATTGGAAAAACAAATATTGAGAAAAAAAAAACATTCAATTCAATCAAAAACATTCAAACAACACACGCACACCAACACACGCACACCAACACACGCACACCAACACACGCACACCAACACACGCACACCAACACACGCACACCAACACACGCACAGCAACACACGCACAGCAACACACGCACACCAACACACGCACACCAACACACGCACACCAACACACGCACACCAACACACGCACACCAACACACGCACACCAACACACGCACACCAACACACGCACACCAACACACGCACACCAACACACGCACACCAACACACGCACACCAACACACGCACACCAACACACGCACACCAACACACGCACACCAACACACGCACACCAACACAC